TATAATATATAATATAATATAGATTAAGTAAGTATAGATTAGTATCTATAAATTATACTTTACGTGTGAAGCAGGTTGACATACATATTGATTATTGTAATTCCAATTGCTTAAATTGAATTAAATTAAACTTTTTTTTTATTGCTCACATGGGTGGACGAGCTCACAGCCCACCTGGTGCTAAGTGGTTACCGGAGCCCGTAGACATCTATAACGTAAATGCCGCCACCCACCATGAGATATGAGTCGTAAGGTCAGTATAGTTACAACGGCTGCCCCGCTCTTCAATCCGAAACGCATTACTGCTTCACGGCAAAAATAGGCAGGGGGGTGATACCTACCCGTGCGGACCTACAAGAGGTCCTACCACCAGTAATTTACTTAACTAAGCACAATCTTTTTATTTTTCACAAGCGTGTGTATTTCGATTAAAAAGTCAAAGCAGTTACAAAAACATACGATTATAAGAGACAATTTCTAAATCATGTTACGTTATATGCAAGTTAGAAACATTATTTTTACGAAAATGCTATTTGTCCTTGCAGCTACATCGCCTTTCGTTGCCGCCGCTGACTACTCCCCGAATCCTGATCACGCAGGAGCCAGTCACCGTCGACGCCATAGACACGTAATTACGGATCCATCAGATCCAATAACTCTGGCATTAAGCACCTTCAGCTCTAACACTAGTAACCGTACTCGTCGAACTCGGCAAAGAGTTCGCCGTGCAACCTAACCTAAACATCAGCCCGCTGAGTTTCTCGCGGGATCTTCTCAGCGGGTCGCCATTCCGATCCGGTAGTAGATTCATTCGCGAAGCAACTACTCTTGAGCTGTTAAGTCTTTTGTGGAGGCGTTCGGATAGCTGTTAGCAAAAACCACCCCTCCTGGCTGAGCCCTTGCTCGCCCACCTGCCCTGGTAAAACTGGAAAGGCCTCCGGGTCACCAGTAATCTCTCAAACATAAAAAAAAAGTTTAACTTATTCTTTTCATGAGCCACATTCATAATTTTAAGGGAATAGCTACTGGAAGCTGAAGGAACAATAAAGAAATAAAAGTTGATTGGTTCGCAGAGTTTTTTTTTTAATTCGGTATATAATCGTTCATAACAACATTACTGAGGTCATAAACAACAAGATTTAATTCTCATTAAGTCAGAACGAGATCCGACGGCGATCACTAGATATTATCTGGGATCGTTTCCATTAATTTTTGAAGATTGTGCAAAAAAGTTATATTCATAATCGCAAAATTTATGATGGGCTATGGCGGTGTAAAATTTCATATCATATATAAATGTGTACTATAGGTGTGTATTCAAATATATTGGTATAGAAATTAATTTATGGCTCAAGGAAAAGTGAACGGTGAAATAGAAACTTTAAATAATATGAAACGCGATTTTAAAATCGATAACATAATTCAAACTAACAAGTTTTGCTCTGTCGGATACGCATTTTTACCTCGATATTGTTATTTAATTTTATTACAAATCTTGGTGATCAATCTATTAAAAAGCAATCCTTTCTTCGCCCATAAACCACCTAATGTTACTTTATCATCACTGTATTTCCGTTTCTAACAATCTTAGGCTACACACATCAACTGAGGTACACCTGTAGGTCTGACTCTGATCTCATCATCTCGTGTAAACATAACGAATGGCTCAATAAAAACATAAAATAAAAAACAATTTTCTAGAAAAGAAAAATATCTAATTACTTACCCATATCGAATAATTATTTGAAAAACTTAAGCTCCGAATTGAGAATCAGATCCTCCTTTGTGATTTAAAGTTGTTTAAAAATCGTCGACCGTCTTTTGAACGAACATAATTGGCTAATTTCTTTCAAATGGAGCGAAAGAAAATTTATTAGAAAAACGTCCCGTAGACGTACTTTTGATTAGTAATGTAAATCCGAATAACTTTGAATACAGCGAAAAGCCGACCGGTAATTTAATCTGGATAGGATTTTCAATTACAGAGTTGTTTATTTTCTTTTGTCCCGGCCATGGCAGTAGTAGGGTCTGTCTTTTGTAATTATTAATCTAAAACAAAACATTGGAGATTGAACTGCCTAATACCTTTCGTCTTGTTGAAGGATTGACGAGAAGGACGCCTGATAATTACGAAACTGTATTAAGGATCCGTTGAGTTTGTGTAAATTGGATACGTTATTTTATTCTGGACTTAGAACATTCTGGATTAAGGTTATCATGAAATTCTTAACCTGCAATTACAATATAAATTTTAGAAACTATTTTCAAACGGGTTCATAAGACGTTTTTCACGTTCATGATCACAGGTAGAGTATGTATAGATGTTTCGGCAAACTTCGTAGTGCCTCAATCGATAAATAAAAGACCCAAACTTTTGTATAAAATAAACTTAAAACAAAATCCGAACACGTCAGCCTAGGGCCCGACCCTCTGAACGGTTTTGAGACACCTTGAATCTCTGAGGCTTAACTTTTTTTGAATTTTACACAATATGTTCGTTTTTAAATTATAGTAATTAGTATACACTAGATTTGATCAAGGCTTTTCGTTTTGGCGAACCTTGAGTGAGCTTATGTGCTATATGTGCTATATATGCTTTGAATTTGTGAGGTTATCTATATATATATAAAAATGAATTGCTGTTCGTTAGTCTCGCTAAAACTCGAGAAAGGCTGGGCCGATTTGGCTAATTTTGGTCTTGAATTATTTGTGGAAGTCTAGAGAAGGTTTAAAAGGTAGATAAATATGAAAATGCTCGGAATTAAATAAAAATAACAATTGTTTTTTTCCTTTGATGTGTCCCCCGTCGGACGTATTCCTTTTGTTTGTTTTCGTTTATTTTATACAAATGTTTAGGTCTTTTATTTATCGATTGAGGCAATACGAAGTCTACCGGATCATCTAGTTTTAAAATAAAACGCTTACACACTACTTAATAATCGATTAATGTACACATGAATTGATTATTGTTTATAGTATCTCTCTGTCCAATTTTGCCGGAATGTATTCGTGTATTCTGGTCTTCAGGGTAGAAAGGCCGTATTATTGTACAATACTTTATGATATCAATGAGCACCGTCACCTGCTTGACGCCATGTGAACCGTAAGGTCGTCCAGAGCTATTCCTATAAAGTAATAAAAATACTTTTTAAGCTCTGTATGGCAACACATATATTTTTGATTAGATAAACTTAATAAAAAATCGATAGATATTTAAATGAGGCCATTAATGCACGCACATAAAATTTTATATACGTGTATATTAACTCTCTTGATTCAGTCAAATACCTACTGTACAAATATTTCAATCTACATAAAGTACCTATCTATAGATTTTTTTATGTTTAAAAAACATATAGGTACCGCGTCTTTTGAGTTAAAATCACATTATGTCAGATTCTTGCTCACTAAAAATCCTTTGTTAGAACCGTCCCCGTTGGAATACAAGAATAGCTTAAGCACATCGAGCATGAAAGCTTAAAATTACAGTCACAAATGTAGATAATATACAATATGTCCCTAATACTTGAGTTTTCTATACATACCTATCTCTGCTTTTATGAAACTTGATTCTTTAACAGAAGTGAATACTTCGACTGCTGTTAAATAATTGAATTACAACTTATATCAGTCCGTCCGTTTGTAAAATGTATTTATTCTTTTAAAATATAAAAATCTGGTTTTTTTTTTCAACGGGGCATAAATGAGTTGTAATATCACTCTGCCGATTGTTTCACGTATCAAGGTATTTTTACTAAGCTACTGATATTGAAATCTATTGTTACCTATATGCAATATTAGTAAAATATTAATATTCCTTACATTAGCAATTTAAAACCATAATATTATGAATTTGTGACAAATTATTCGGTTATAAATTGCTCGTTAAATTCATATAACAAGATCTAAATCACATAATCCGTTTCGATGAAGGCTATCTAGTTTCTTCATCGTGGATTAATTGTAGACAGTTAGCCATTATAAAAATTGAATATAGTGTCATTAACCTCACAGTTGAAAATCCAAGATCAGAAAATACGGATGCGAATTTAATACTATACCGTTTTACACATAATAATTATGTCATTACACACAATCGGCAAAAAATGTTACAAAAACCACCAATACGGGTTTAGATAATAATGCCCGCGTATTACTTTGTGTACGTATATTTATTTTTTATTGGTACAATACAATTACAAAGTCACTCTAAACTTATACTTGTTCAAGGACGCCTTTGGAAAGTTAATGCAATCCACTAATATGCAATTTTAAGTAAAGCGTAAACTTATAACCAAAATAAAGAGAACCGATACACTTTATAAGCTGAATTTCGTCTGTCATGGCAATTTTTGACTACATTTTGTTAATGTACTTTTTAATAAACCCATACGCTGGTCAAAATAAAAGTACTAAAAAGATTTTGTACCTAATTATTTTTTATTATTCTATTTATCAGTATCTTATGTCAAACTGGGTATTATTATTTAATTCTATGTAATTACTATTAATATTAACAAATTATATTAATTTTACAATTTCAGATTTTGTTTCTCATTAGTTTTCAATATAATGAAGGGAAACTTCAGCTTAGAATGGGTTAATGCTAATTACTTTATTAATTTAAATTATTGACTAACTTAAAATTATTATTATCGGCTGAAACTAATGCTGCCATCTCTTGATACTCCAAAGAACTACGTGAGCATCACCAACGACATTCAACCAAAAAAGACGTTGAAACTTCTAACTAAATGATCAACGCGCGCCATCTATTAGTTGTTTAATAAAATATTGTTCCTTTTTTAACTGTGTTGAATGAAAACAAGCAATTTACATATTATAAGAAAATTGGATCTTTCTATCCTGAATTAAAGTAAAAATTTGTTTAAAACTAAATAACGGGAGTAGTAAAAATAGTGGTTAAGTTTTTGCACTGGTAGCCCAAAGTGCTTTCTGTCAAATTGACGTCAAACCGTCTGGCCGTGTTTTTCAATCAGTCAGTTGTCAAACAGAATTTTGTGAATGATTGCGGCGAGTGTCTCGTCGAACGTAAACGGCGCTTCTAAGTTAGCTGCATTATTTGCGTTTTCATAAAATTTGTAACATAAGAGTTAGCTTAACATTAAACTATTCCATGTATTTAGAACAATATAAAATCAAATAATACATTATAACCAGTAATTTTAAGTTATATTTTATTTATAAAAATCGTCGGAATCTTGTCACAATGGTGAAAGATGGACAAAATAAATATCGGTCGTAGTCGATCTAGCGAGACTTTGTGACGCAGACGCTATGTGTAATGTGATCTAGTGCTACAGAATTAAAGGATTTCTAAGCCCCGGTAAGTTAATTTGAATTTACACAATGCACCGTTAATTTGCTTATATTATCAACTGTGTGCAATACACATAAAAGTTATACTGTTATTCGCATCGATATCGCAATCCTTATCTTCTCAAAAAATCGTATTATTTAAGTACTATCACAAAAACACATTCCTCAGTCGATATTAAACGTATTTTAAACTCTTGTAACTTACGCAAAAATGAAAACTAGAAAAAAATTGTACCGACAGGTTTTCTGTTATGAAAACGCAGTAAAAAATGACAAATATTTAAAAAAAGAAAAGAAAGGTACAGTAAAAATATTAAAAATTGCATAATTCAATAGTTCATCAAAATTTGAAAATAAAAAATTGTTAAACAATCTCACCAAATATAACAATGTAATTTAAAAAGTAAATTGTTTCAAAATATAAACGTAAATTGACATATTCAACACAATATCTATTAGTAAAGGTTTGTTTTTCTAATTTACTTCTAATACCTAAAAGGCATATACATACCCATAACATATACAACATGTAACATAATTAACGCACACCCTGAAAGTAATTTGTTCAGAATCGGAATCTGGATCGATTTTGATTGTTTTTTATGTACCAATTTTTTTTTCTAAAATTTAGTTAAAACTAAGTAAATTACAGTCACCCTACACAACTAGCTAAACAGTTCATAGAAACGAAAATGGAACGTAAGTCAGGGTATTAAGACTTTTTAAAATGAAATATCTAATTAGTAAAAAAAAAAAATTATTTAATTAAAGAAATCTGATACTTATTTTAAGGCTAATAGTCTATTACAAAATAAAATACCTACGCACACAATACCAACAGCGACCGCCGGCACACAGAAACACTACAATACATAAAAGAAAGCCACGTAATACAAAAATAATTACTATCCCTTTCTTTCGTCGGCTTAATAATCTTACATTAGACGGCAGGCTAATCCCGATGTTCGCGGCGACGCGGTTGCGTCGGCGGTGATCAAAGAAAAATCTAAACAACGAAGTCAACAAAATATTTTTGACAAGTCAGTCACGCCGCGTCCACCTTGTCGATAAGAGGTCAAGTGATAGTGCAAATAAAATATCTCCCGTATTTCGCTATGTTTTTTCGGTCAGTGGCCTCCTAGATCAGCTGATTTCACGCCTCTCGACTTTTTTTTGTGGGGGCGAATTAAATCGCTAGTTTATAACACACAGACAATAAGTGCCGAAGAACTAAAGAATAAGATAATAACCGCCTTTGAAAAAGTGAAAAGTATTATCTAAAATAAAACAACAAATACGAAAACGGTCATTAAAGTGCATTGAGCAAGGGGCGCGGCGAGTAGGTACATGTGTCGATGTGTGCGTGCGCAGCGGAGTGTGAATCGGTGACCATTTTATTTCCACGAAATGGGAATAACTAATTTCACAAATAATCAATGTTAACGCACATATAAATAATATTTGGTGTATGCATAGCGTTTATACTATTAAAGTCTAATTGGGGTGTTTGAGGGTGTGCGTTAAATATGTTACATGTTGTATAGTTGAATTCAATTTTCTTGACAACAATTGCATTGATTCTGTTTGTGCAGGTGAATATTGCAGTCATGGCCAGTGAGGAATCCAGCGTAAGAGTTGCTGTGAGGTAATTATTTATGAATATTATATTTAAGTTGTTAAGTTTTTAGTGGGATAAAATAAAAAGATTTTCAAAATCTTTATTTATTTCGGTTACACTGATACTTAAACTGTTGTGGCATTACTACTAAGTCTTGTAGTAAGAATTTGAAATAAATAATAAAAAACCATTCAAGTTTAATGACGTTTTTTTTTAAATTTATATTCCTGCTTTTATATAAAGAAGGTAGAATTAAAACCATTGTTGTTAATTTGCTGAAATATGTTGCTTTAAACACTTCAAATAATACTGATAGGGACCTTCTAAAACTTAAAAAGTAATCAATATAGATTAGAACTAATCAAACAAGTGATTTTAAATAGAACAAAGAATCAATACATTTCTAAAAACCTGTAGTATGTTTGTAAAACCTATAATTTTTGCAACTATTTACTTGAACATTATACTTAAGCCTAAAAAGAAACCTAACTGTATAAACACATTTATGGACTACTTATAAAAAACAATTGTTTCAATTTTTTTTCATTGCTTTGGTTGTTGTGTATGCTTTCATGACTAGCCTGTTGTTCAGTGGTAACTGGAGTCTATGGACATCAAAAGGGAATGCCGTCACCCACCTTGAGACATAACGATCGAAGTCTCAGTTGCATTGTATAATAGATATCCCACCTTACAAACCAGAATGCTTGACTCTTCCGAGGTAGAAACCTGTAGAATGGTGATACCTACCCATGAGTGCTTACAACATGCTGTACCCAAGTTTTTTTTTATTGCTTACATGGGTGGACGAGCTCACAGCCCACCTGGTGTTAAGTGGTTACTGGAGCCCATAGACATCTACAACGTAAATGCGCCACTCATCTTGAGATATAAGTTCTAAGGGTCTCAGTATAGTTACAACGGCTGCCCCACCCTTCAAACCGAAACGCATTACTGCTTCACGGCAGAAATAGGCAGGTTGGTGGTACCCACCCGCGCGCACTCACAAGAGGTCCTACCACCAGTAATAAAAGTAATTTCATTTACAATACTTTGTTGTCTGCTCATTGAAATAATTTTCATACAGTTCTCCATAAATTGCGATGTATTATTATAATTGAAAATGTAAAGTTCATTTTTATAATTTGCAGAAAGTTAAAACTACTATAATAATCCACAATAAAGATCAGTTATTAACATTAAAGCAAAATGAAAACTTATATTAAATATAGCCTAATAATCACTCTAGTAATAGTGTCAATAAAATCAAAGAGTACCCTACCCTACATAGAACAGCCATATTCCTTTTTTTATGTAGAGTATGAATATATATTTTGTTGAGAATAATTCAGATTCGCAGTAGTCAAATATCTTGAAATATTTTCTAAACTGAGTTAGAATAAAGTGAAGACGTTTAAACGCGCCTTCTTTTATACTATTCAGCATACATTGACTGTTCGTATCGAACTCAATTTCGTGATTTATATCTTTCCGTTAGGGGGTCGTCACGCAAACACGCGGCCTACATCGTTGCGTGCCAATACATTGCCGGTAATGTGCGTTGGTGTCGTAAATAAAACACGAAACATTATGAAGTATTCGATTTTGAAAAATGCTTAAATTATAGCCACAGATCAAGATCACATGTTAAATACGTGAAGATGTGAAATAAAAGCTATAGATGCGAGGTATGCCGTCTAGAAATTCTTCTGCGGGTTCTTTCTGATCCCATTATTTGCGTGGTAAATTTTTATTTAATAATCTCTAACGGTATGGTGGTAGAGCGAAACCAGTATTATTTGATTCTACTCACCTCACAAAAACTCACCTATCATTAAAAACAATGTTTTCAATGATAGGTGAGGTTTTTTTTTAACGCATTGGAGACTTCAGCCTTATTACTCCAGATAAATCTCACTTCTTAAACATTTTATTTCAAACATATTATTAAATATAATAAAATAAAATTAATTAAGTTTAATTCTAAAATTAACATCGAATTAATTCCAATGCTTTTTATTAAGTGATATCAAACAAAATACAAGGGATTACATTGATAATCGCAACATTTCCACTACGAAGCATTAGGTATTGAGTGTAATAAAAAAAGGCGTTTTCTGAATTTTAGATCTTCGAATTAGTCCGTCATGCACACATATTATACATCTTCAGATTCTATTAACACCTCCGCCATAAGATTTATTCATAGCTCACTCCATTGTATCTATAGTTGTGACATCATGATTCGAGCAAGGATGTACCTAACGCAACGTTAATAATTTGGAAAATAAGTTAATAATAAATTACTACTATCAATTTAAATATCGGCTAAACTTAAATGATGTTCAATTAAAAACATCGAACTGCTGATGCTAATACAAAATAAAATCCATCTTTAATTAAAAAGATAAATGTCGTTTTTTAAAGAAATGTCACTCAACCAAATAACCTTTCACCTCTCCAATATAATATTGCACGCAGTGTTTTTTTTATGATTTGATCAGTAGAATCATATTATTTTTTAATATGTACACACTTTATGACGCTGTTTTTGCTAAACATTAATTTACAGAATATCCTTAGGTCGTTAAAATAAGTGGCTTTATAATAAATAGATAGATAATAAATAAATAGATAATGAAATGAAATGAATTCAAATGAAACCCGCAAAATTATAATTTACGTAATTACTGGTGTTAGGACCTCTTAAGAGTCTGCGCGGGTGGGTACCACCACCCTGCCTATTTCTGCCGTGAAGCAGTAATGCGTTTCGGTTTGAAGTGTGGGGCAGCCGTTGTAACTATACTTGAGACCTTAGAACTTATATCTCAAGGTGGGTGGCGCATTTACGTTGTGGATGTCTATGGGCTCCAGTAACCACTTAACACCAGGTGGGCTGTGAGCTCGTCCACCCATCTAAGCAACAAAAAAAAAAAGATAAGCCTCTGTAATGTTTTTAAATTAACGCGTCCAACTTAAACTGCTGTAATTGCAAAATAGTTGCATTGGAACTCTTGAACTATGCCGCATCGAATCTGCGACAATCGCTTCTAAGGACAGACTCCGACCTTTCCTCAACGTCGGGTGCTACTTACACCGTTACGTAACAACTGAACGAAAAACACGAAATATATCTACCTACCTAACCTCAATAGCTTCAATGTACTACTAACTATTTGTTACGTAAGTAAACTAGCACTTGCCGTATTTACATTGTAGTGTTTGACGATTTTTTTTTTTCCCTACCTTATCGTTGGTAGACTAAGACGCTATTCCAATTTCGCGCGGGCTGGTAGTTGAGCTCACGGGCTCAACCTGACAGAATTGCTAACACTAACCCTAGCGAGTCCAGTGCTTCGCTGAATCTACTACCGGATCGGAATCGCGACCCACTGAGAAGATCCAGCGAGAAACTCAGTGGGCTGTGTCTATGGGCTAGTTTGCACGTCGAACTCTTCCTCAGAGTCGACGAGAACGGTAACCGGTGCTTGAAGAGCCTAAAAGCACCGAGAGTGGATCCGGGGGATCCGACAAGACATATTTTGGGCGACCGCGGCTTTACTTTGCCCCGTCACCTAGATCGGATATGTAGTTAGCGGTGGCCACAACAAAAAGGTTATCGTGCCGCGCTGCCTTTTCAAAGTAGCGCACTGACGCTTCTCTGAGTAACTTACGTATCGGTTCTAGATTTAAGTCGTCGTGAAGATCTAGATTTTTTTAATATAACATTGACATGTCTACACAGGTCCGGCCCATTTTTGCAAAGTTTGGAATCAACAACTTTGGACAATGTCTTAGTTAAATTAAGAACATAATTTAAAAAATCTGAGCGTTTTTCCTTGATATTAACCGCCGCCTTTCCTTGTCTGGTGTTAGACCATTTCCACATTCTAAGTAATAGAGTATCTATAAATAATTGGATCTTTGTTTTGAATGCGCTCGTTGATCATGAATTATGAACAAATCTTAATGTCCAAACAGTCTCATTAAATTAGCAACATGCTGTATATTATATAAAACGTTTGGGATGGGTTAGGCCGATCAGTTGACTTCCTTTGTCTGATGGTGAAAAAACTGACAACCCGGCCGTGTCAGTGTAACACATCGCAACAGTTTAGTTTAGTTAAATCGTTTCCGTCTTGATTGCAGCCAGTTAGCGTAATTGCCTTTATCTCGTATCTATTGTTTTTAAAGTAATTTACGACATGACCTGATTCAAAATCTGTGCGGTGACAATGAATGAACACGAACGTTCATAGATGTTTTTCTGGAGGAGGATTTTATATTTTATTTTACAGTGTTTAAGTCTATTTTGATTTTTTGAGGTTTTTTTTTTAATGCTTAGATGGTTGGACGACCTCACAGCCCATCTGGTGTTAAGTGGTTACTGGAGCCCATAGACATCTACAACGTAAATGCGCCACCCACCTTGAGATATAAGTTGTAAGGTCTCAGTATAGTTACAACGGCTGCCCCACCCTTCAAACCGAAACGCATTATTGCTTCACGGCAGAAATAGGCGGGGCGGTGGTACCAACTCGCGCGGACTCGCAAGAGGTCCAACACCAGTAATTACGCAAATTATAATTTTGCGGGTTTGATTTTTATTACACGATGTTATTCCTTCACCGTGAAAGTCAATCGTGAACATTTGTTGAGTACGTATTTCATTACAAAAATTGGTACCCGCCTGGAATTCGAACACCGGTGCATCGCTCAACACGAATGCTTATATGCTGCGAATGCTATAATGCGAATCTTATTCCTTAGGCCACGACGACTTCAGGTCGTGCATTTCCAAATTGCTAATTTCTATTTCATGTCACTGTGTTTCAATTTCATGTAAAGGAAAGCCTTTTCACCAATACACCCACACCAAAGCAACATTTCTTCAAACAGAAGTTAATAGGAATGATGTTTTGTGGTTCTCTACCTTCAGGCTATCTTATTAAAACGGTCTTAGAACCTTCAAAGCGAGTACTCACAATATATGGACATTTAAGCCAATTGTTCTAATCCCTATAATG